CTATTTACTTGTGACCACGCCGTGTATATATATAAATATATATATATAGTCAAATGCATAAGATGTATTTCACACGCACACACAATTCGTAGAATACTGTTTGATCTAATATATATATAGTCAAGTGCATAAGATGTATTTCACACGCACACACAATTCGTAGAATACTGTTTGATCTAATATATATATAGTCAAGTGCATAAGATATATTTGACACACACACACACAGTTCGTAGGATACTGATTGCTGTTTGTTTTTGCTTAAGTGCAAAGCCGTTTTCAATGGGCTATTTGCGCTGTATCGAACCACTATTTTAAGCGTTGTAATCCATTACGCTTTCCGCTGAGCTACGAAAGGTTGATTGTGATTAATGTCGTTACTGAAGTCTGTTATACTTGATTAACTTCACGAAGTGAAATGTTCGTAGAATAGCAATTATTAAACATGTCATCGTGTTTCACATGAATATATTAAACTATACCTAAATTATTCGGGCTGAAACAGGTTTCTATTTTATTTTATTTTTTAGCAGGGTTAGACTCTGCAGTAAATAGTAAGAAGAATGTAGAAGGTACCGAACTGGGTAATTACCAGCAATATTACCCCCCCCCCCCCAGAAAACTAATCCTATTCAATAGTATAGGCGTTGTTCCCAGCTTTTGACCTGGTAACGCTCTATTGAATGGGGAATAGAGAAAGTCGCTGTTTCAACTTTGGATTAAATGGTGACGAATAACATGGCAAATAAGACGCCCCCTATTGTTGCTCCCCCCCCCCCCCCAAATATTTGTTTGTTTCCTGTTAAGCACAAAGCTACACAATGGACTGTCGTTGTCGTGCCCACCACGGGTATCAAAAACCGTTTTCTATTTTTAGGGTTATTAGTCTTAGGATATACCGTTGTGCCACAACGGAGCTGATATTTGTTTGCCACCTGTATTCAAGACAAATGACAGTGGGTAGACGTCGTCCACTCTCGTTCTTAACAGTGCTTTTCAGAGATTCCTGGATACATATATTAAGTTACCAAATCTGAAAAACTTAGAGAACGAAATATGGATCGTGTCAAGTCACGCTGATAAAACAGCTATTAGTTAGTGAACAGAACACAAGAAAAACAACATTGAGTTTGAAGGTAATCTTTTCTCCCCATCTCTCGTATGAAGAATATATCACAGATTATTCGCGAATACTTAGTAGTTACTTAGATATCATTGAAATGCGTCGAGCTGGAGTTCTTGACCATGATTGTACACATGGCTTATTAAAAACTAAAGCTAACGTGATATTTTATACTGATGGAGACTGTTCGAGATGATCGACCATAAGATACATGTGTAATACGACCTTTACTGAAGCGCTTTCACTTACATGGTTATATATATATGTGTGTGTGTGTGAGTTACTGAAGCACTTTCACTTTTAAGGTTATATATGTGTGTGTGTGTGTGTGAGTTACTGAAGCACTTTCACTTTTAAGGTTATATGTGTGTGTGTGTGAGTTACTGAAGCACTTTCACTTTCATGGTTATACACACACACACACACACACACATATATATATATATATATATATATATATATA